AGGTGCATCTTGTACAGAGCAGCCACTGATGGGGGAAGCAGGGATGAGGGGAAGGTTTGGAGCTTCCCTCGCTGCCCTCGCTGACCTGAATGGGGATGGAATAGCTGAGGTGGCTGTAGGAGCCCCTTTGGAAAATGATGGCAAGGGTGGCCTGTACATCTTCTCTGGTGCACAAACAGGAATAAATCCCACGTACTCACAGGTGAGAGAAGCTGCGGGGGAGACTGCAGGTACAGAAAATGAGCAGGAAGAGAAAATATTCTTACTTGTAACTAGCACATAATTTGTTAGCTTTGTCATTATTTAGGACTGTGATAAAATGATTTCTTTGCCACATGGCTCACTTGTTGGGAATGTGAATTTCACAGGCCCATTATATCATAGCTATCCTGTTACTTTAACGTGAAGAGTCAGACCATATGAAGATAGACATGCATATTTTCTCAGCAAAGTGAAATTCCGACCGTGTTGTGTGTCTTTCCCTCGTGAATGCTTACTCTTCCATCTTTGGTCACTGTTGACTTTCCCTATGTCCACCTGCAGAGAATCCCGGGCTCCACAATACATCCAGGCCTCAAATACTTTGGCCAGTCTATTAGTGGTACTGTGGACCAGAGCAGAGACATGCTGCCTGATCTGGCTGTTGGATCCAGGGGGAAGGTCCTGCTGTTACGGTATTGCTGGAACTACGGGATGCAAATTTGTTTTTTGTTGGAATTTATTACTGTCATTCCATATGACTTTAGCAGAGAAATATATGAATATAATGAATAAAAATGAGCAATATATGTAGGAAATAGAACTATACTCACATTGTAATAATGAATTTCTGTTCTTCATAAAGTTACTAATATCTTTTTGGATGGATATAAGAATATAGCTTTGGTTCCCAAACCTGTCATAGGGGGCAGCCCAGCCATTCCATGTATTTGTTAAATTTCACCACTGGCTCACCTAATTAAACAAATGAAATAATTATTTGCTGATTAGTTGAACACAGTATGGTAGAGGTCAAGCCAAGAAGTTAATGGGTATATTGAATGGTTACTGCACATATTGGGGTGATTTTAGTAGAGGTTTTGAAATAGCTAAGATGACACACTCTGACAGATATAATATCATAGTTTTACACCTCCATAAAAATCATTTAATCATTCTTTGACTGCCTACCGTAGGACTCTTGGACAGTAAAATCCATGTGTATAATAAAATCCACCCCACAACAAAAGACAGTGAAGTTAGAACATGCCCCTACTCTGTAGAGTTTGCTAATAATGGTCACCTAAACCACTATTGAAACAAGCATAAACATTCATTCTGCAGTTAATGCATCCTGGTAGCTAATGCCTGTTGAAGTTCACTGTTAGCTAGCTAACTAAAGGAGTTAATTTCCCCTAATAAAAGTAGTGGACGCTGTTATGTTTCACATTGACTAGCACCAAAAACTACTGAATTTCTTGCACTGCCAATGCCATGCTCCACCCTGATTGATGGAGCATATTCCATGCATGATTGAGTAACAGAGAAACCAAAAATGCCTACACCATGTTGACAACTTCACAGTGTGGCACTTAATGGGGCACTTTGGTATAATAAAATGATATAATAAAAAAGTTAAATTTAGCCTTTATATATTAATTTAATCACCTACATATGTAAATATATGCAACTAAATAATACAAGAGTATTCATGTGTCCTCATCTTTGTTACTCTAGGACCAGACCTGTGGTGTTGGTGACAGTGAGAATGACCTACAATCCGCGCACAATCCCAGCTGACATCTCTGACTGCAGCAAACACCTATCTTACATTGCAAGAGTGTGTTTCTCCATGGTGAGCCGTACTCGGGGCCAATCAGGTGAGCACTCGTTATGTTTTTGATATTCAGAAACACAAATTTATTAGCATAGCATTGTGACCCTGTCTTTGTGTAATTTTACCTCAAATGCTAAGGATTAATTGCCTATAGTGTATGAGTGTGAGTGTGTGCATCAGTATAATGCACAGGCATCCCATTGAGAGTGAACCCCAGCATTGCACCCTCTGTTGCTGGGACATCCTCATGCCCCACCCATCCCATCCATCGCTTGGTGGTTAGAAGATGTGTGGATTTACATTATAACTGTTCATTTCATGTTGTTTACAGGAAATCTGGAAGCACAGCTTAATTATACCTTGACTCTTGACGCCTTTCGAAGTGCTTTGCGGTCTCGTGCCTTTTTTGGTCCTTCCCAACCATCCCTGACCAGAATGCTTACCATAAGAGGAACTTCCCAAGATAAGTGTGAAGACCATCAGTTATCAATACAAGTAAGTACATTGTTTTATATAATTCTGTTTTATTTATTTTTTTGATATCACATAATGGGGTCGATTCTCCCATGCGTTTAATGCACCTTTTTCACTCATCATGGATGGCACTGTGTATACCATTGCGCTCAGGCTAGACCCAGTGCACAACCACTAGGCAGATATTGTGAAGGTATGTACAAAATAAGTACGTAGAATGGGAATGACTTGTGACTGTTTTTATGTAATGTGCTTTGTGACAGGAAGGGGAGGGGATAAATGTTATATTAAAGAGCATACAAGGAAATCGGTTGGTCTGTGCGCTTTCTGTTCTGCAAAGTTCATGTGACAGCCCCATTTTAGTACACCTTTAGTGTGCCCTCTACTGGCTTTCGTGCTCTGCCACTGGGTGGCACATAAATAAGTATGTTCCAATGACACATGCATTTCATTGTATTACACTTTAAATCGCTTTATTTGGTAACACTTTACAATACTAGTACACAAATAAGCATATATTGTTGAACTTATGCCATGATGAGTAATGCATTTACTAATGATTAGAACATTGGTAAATACTGAAGCATATATGTTAATTACCTAACCAATATTTAAATAAGCATTAGTAAGTGGCATTGTTGATTACTAATGCATTCCTAACTCACTTTAATAATTAAGTATTTATTAATAGCGTACAATGTACAGGATCTGGCTTCTGGGTCCCCACCCATAGTTACTTTGCCCCCCCCCCC